TCATCATCATCATCATCATCATCATCATCATCATCATCATCATCATCATCATCATTGTGTACAGCAGATAGTAAATCATCGTCATCGTCATTATCATCATCATCTTCATCATCATCATCATCATCATCATCATCATCATCATCATCATCATCATCATCATCATCATCATCATCATCATCATCATCACCATATATGCGTAATAACGCTAAGTCCAGTTTAGCTCTGAAATCGAATGATATTTTAAACATTCTGATAACACTTAAAATCTAGACAATGATACATGTACATTGTAATTTGTATTATGTAATCATGTAGCTTACAGGGCATATTTAAAAAAAAAATTACGCCTTTTTCGATAATCATAATATTACATAGAACGCAGGCTCATATGATCCTTTTTGCCCGAAATGGCACGCTAATTAACGGAACAATTCACTTTCTCTTCACCCCACTGCACGACTGACTGCTGAACGTATCATTGGCGTGCTTGATCTGAGTTTCATGTTGGGGGGTACACCTGAAGGCTATCTCGCTTATTAGCGGACCAAATGTTTACCATATTTCACACTTATAACTTATAACAAGCATGGTAAGGAGTCTTAAAATACGCAATCATTTTGAGAAAAAGTTTAGTTTCCATGGATACGGCGGCCCTAGAAGATTTGTTGATATGTCTTACTTAATAAATACCGCACTTGTCGTTCATAGATCTAAAAATTTGTCTGTTGATTTTTTCCTAAACAAAATAGAACATTTTTAATGAATTTTTTTCCTGAGGTAGTAGTCAAGTTTGCAAAAAATCCATGAAAATACACAATCCAAACACCACCAACAAAAATCTAGATCTAGTCCATATTTAAAAAATTCAACAGAGATATTTTTATTATCACATCTTCTCTTCATTCTATGAAGAAAATTTCATGAAAATAGGAAGAAAAATGGTGGAGTTATTTTAAAAAAGTAGCTCTATAGAGAAAAATCGCGTATTCAGAAAACGACCGATAAAGAAAAATAAAATATTGACTTTATGAGGAAATGGTGGCGACAAATATACTCGGTATTGGAAAAATACGGCTTTTGGGGGTTCTTATGCGATGAAATACTTGTTGGAGAGGCTGAGGAAGCTAAAAATGCTTACAACTCAAATTCCATAATTTTGAGCTCAATCGGGACTTCGGGGGTGTAACCCCCCCCCCCTAAACCACATAATGTCATATCTAACAGCTATAATAATTCGATTCCTTGCCGGGATGGGTTGTTATAGTCTTGATAAGCTCTTATTAAAGCGGGTGGGTGGGGTGGGGTGGGGGTGGGGGGGGGTTAAATTGACGTTTTTCGATCAATTCACGGTATCTGGACTTTTTACGTACTATAATACTCCAATCACTTGTAAATCTAAAAAGTGCTTATTTTTGTGTTACAATCATCATCTTTCAGATTTTCTGTCTTATAGCTTTCATTTTGCCTATTAAGTAACAAAATGTTGTTTTTTCTCAAAACGTCAATTTTTGATGTTTTTTCTCATCTACTTTTTTATCTTATTTTTTATTCCAATGAAATTTTCAGGGCTTGTTATTCGTACCATAACCTAACTTTATGCTGGTAGAACATAAAATTTATGCATTTATAAGTGAGTCACATGGATGATTTTGTAAACGAATTCAGAAACATGAAGGGGTAGGTCTGTTATCTATCTCTAAAAATTTTCCTTTTCAAGATATCCAAAATCCCCACAGTATAAAACTTTGTATTGAGTATATCTATCAATGTTCCCAATTTGATTGGTAAATAAAAAATCCTTTTTACTTTTGTGAAAGCAGTTTATTTTCAATATGGCGGTCGTTACCATGGCAACCGTAGGCTTAAACAAAATAATTAAAGTTACAATTTACGTTTTTTGTATATGTTTTCTTGTTATACCTCCTTGCTATAAGGCTTTTTCTAAAAAGGCCATAGTTACCGAGATAGGTTTATAAACCAGCCCCTCCCCTTAAAGAGAAGACTGTGACAGGGAGAAGAAAGAAGATAGAGACACACAGGCTTTTTGAAAAGAGTGGATCCGAATGACGCACAGAAAGAAAGAGAAATTGGGTCAGTTTGACTCTCAAGATCTTTTTTCTTCTTTGGCTGCCTTTTTTTTCTCCAAAGAATTCCATTAAGGTTGCCTTATGTCACCTCCTCAACGTACGCCATTGTTGGGTTGGCCCTGGCGGGCAGGGTCGGAGGGATCCGTCGTCTGAATGAACTAAATTGTGTTGTTGTAAACTGTTTACAGCCATCCAATCGAAACATATTTTCAAGCCTTTCGTTGTCTCTCC